GACAGTGTATATATAAAGCATGTACAGCATATAGGTAGATGTATTTGAATGATAATATTTATATGTTCAAAAATAAACTGAAATTCAACAATAGAAAAATAAATAATAAATAGTTTTCAGGTTCAGTGGACGTTAGAGTCCCCAGGGTTATTGTACAGGGATAGTTCCTGACACTGTGTGACTGGAAGTAACTGTTGGTCAGAGTGATGGCCTGTGGGTAGAAAGTGTTCCTGTTCCTGTTTGTGTTGGCGTACAGTGCTCTGTAGCGCCTACCAGAGGGGACGAACAGGTTGTGTCCAGGATGTGATGCCTCTGATGTTTCCTGCCTTGTTTCCTGACTCTGGACCAGTACGGGTCCTGAATGGAGGGCAGGTTGGCACTAATGATCCTCTCTGCAGTCCTGCCTAACCGCTTTACTGTTGATGCACTGCAGATCTTTTTATATATGTATCTATATATAATTGAATATGTATTTGTACTTTGTGGTATGTAAACAATGTAAATACTTCTCATAATTCCTGTCTTAAATGTAGCTTTCTAGTTGACATTACTGACATTATGTGGCTGTCATTACTGTGGTTTTGGCGCCCCCTGTTGGTTGTTGCTTACAGCACGTTAAACTGAGCAGCCCCTCCCTCCTGCTGCTGCTGCGCTGATAACATGTTCCCATTTCCATGTCTGAAGATGTACCTCAGTGAGAGCCAAAGCGACACTAGAACAAGAAATGTATATACATACATATCACATATAGTTTTGGATGATAATATTATGTTTGGCTGTGTGTGACATGGCGGCACATGCATCACAATATCACATGATTTGACCTCACCGTGCATGCCTATGAGTCTTAAGGGGAGGAGAATGCATTATATGATGGGAGGGCGCAGTGACAGCAGCAGTCGAGGAACAGGTTAGAAAGGAGAAGAAGACGGCTTTACCCTGCGAGGATCGGACTTTTCTTTTTTCGAGTTTGAATTCATTTACTTTCACTAACACGCTTGTAGTTGGGACCGAGGACAAAACAGCCGCCAAACAGGTGATATTCCCGCTTCATTTGTGTGTGTTTTTTCTTGTTGATGTGTCAAGGATTAGAGGGTTTATCAGTGTGTGTGTGTGTGTGTGTGTGTGTGTGTGTGTTACACCCAGAGAGAGGAGGGCTATATAAGCTGGCAGTGAAATGTTTTAAATGTGTGTTTTAAGAACAATGAACTCCTGATGAACTCATGAGCGATTTGTATATACTTCCACTTTGTCTAAACCGGAAATGCAGCTTTATCTTGTGGGTTTCTGCTGGTGCTGCTAAAGCAAAATAAAAGCATGAAGAAAAGCAAGAGGACATGGCAGAGTGGGATCCAGTGGAAAATATAATTACCACCACCCACTCCCCCTCCCACTCCCTCCTGTGCTACAACATGCCACTCCCTCTTTTATTGTCATGCAGCTCAGCTCTCAAACATCAAGAACACAATAAGTGTTTGCTGGCCTTCAGCTTCCACCATATCACATGTTTTGTTATTGTTAAAGGACAAACTGGACTTCTGGACTGTACAGTGGTGGTTGTAAACACACACACTTATTAAACCATTGAGGTGAGATGACAAACACATGATTGTAAGGATAATAGAAGTCAAACTCAAAGTGACTGAATGAGGCCAGATGCACTTAGTGTTGGAATCTTTTTGTTACCCTCACTTTCTGTCCCCTTCCTTTCTTCCATTCTGGTTGTTTTTTAATCACCGCCCCCCCTCCTTTCCTTTCCCTTTCATTCCTCCAGTTTCCCATAGAAACCCAGGGAGTGGACCGGGAAGTGAGACCTCCTTTTGCTCCGTGCCCAGAAAAGTTTCAGCCAGCTCCTCGCCATGTCTGCTCCTGGTAAGTCTCCAGATTTACATGTTTTTAGTTTGTATTTAGACAGAAAACTGGAGATTAGGAGGTAAAGAGCTCTGATGTGAGATTTTCAAAACTTTTGAAACTCTTGCTTCTTTATTGGCTCCTTACATTGTGTCATATTTTGCTGCCATTGTGAGTTGATTAGCCTCTTGAATCTCAAAGTTTCCATTACACTCTCCACTGTGAAGTGAATGGAAACGCTGTCCCGCCCCAAAAAATTTTCTTGAGAAATTCTATCCTCCCCGAGGTGGTGAAATTAGAGAATAAATTCCAAGAATGCTTGTATGAAAACTGAAATGAAAACACTTCCGTTGGTCCTCTGGACGGAGAGGAGCAGTTTAGGAGGTGAAAGGCACCCCTTGTGTGGACATGTATGTGTGCACATGTGCACATTAAAGTTGTGTGTTTCCTGCAAGTAGGGAAAGGAATGTGGAAGGAGGAGGAGTAACAACAAGCCTCAAAGAACACATAGTTAGTTAGAAAGGCAGAAGTGCCATCAGTTGCCCTCTGACTTTAATCCACATTCGTCAGTCCACTTTAATTTAACTTCAACTGAGGAAGAGTCCCAGTATGACCTCTAAAACTGCTACTTGCTTATGTTTTTGTTGGGCTGTCCTGCCATGCAAACTAAAACCAGCTTGGTCAGCTATGAGGCAGGTCTTTGTTACCTTTTGTAACACTAGTGACGTGGTGGTAAATGATAGGATGTTTCTGTTATAAGCAAGACGTATAGCACCTTTCATTGCAACTAAACTCAATAAGCTTTTAATTTAAGTGCAAACAGCAACAAGTCAGACACCTACAGAGGAATGTGAAAAAGCCACCAACCAGCAGAAACCCACAGACAGAAACCACAGACACATTAAGCTAACCGATCACACACCTAAAATATATATATGTATATATCGCTTTTTTGGAAACAGTTATCATGTCTTCAGAAAATGCCAGAGGAACAAAAACCCCTCAACCAATCTACGTCTCATGTCCTGTTAGAAAACCTGACTGTGGGCGCCCGGTTAGCTCAGTCGGTAGAGCTGGTGACCCATATACGCAGCGGCTTCGAGTTCGAGTCCGACCTGCGGCCCTTTGCTGCATGTCGTCCCCTCTCTCTCTGCCCCCCTTTCCTGTCTCTCTCCAGCTATCACTGTCAAATAAAGGCATAAAGGCCAAAAAAATAATACTTAAAAAAAAAGAAGAAAAAAAAAAGACCTAACTGGACTGTAGTCAGTGAGTCTTTAAAGACTTTAAGTTAAAGTAGGGATGTAAGTTCTGGAGTTAATGTTATAGAGAAGAGCTGAGGTGAAAGAAACAACCAGAAAATAGTGAAAAGTGTTCATTTCTCTGTAAGTATATTTGATGTCCCAAACATATTAGGTTTTATAATAATTTTATAATAAGAAAAGCAGAAAATTCTCACATTTGAGAAGCTGGAACCAGAGAATAATTGGCATTTTGCTTGAAAGAAGGCTTAATTGATGATCAAATTGGTAGTCAATTCATTTTCTGTCTCGACCAATGGACGAATTAACAAATTGTTTCGAGGGCGCTCAGAAACCTCTGTAGACCTACTTTGTTTCACGCCGTAAAACGATCAATCAATAAGGGAATCGACAAAGAATTGGACCGGTAAGCACAATCAATAATGGTTAATAATTAGTTCTGATCCCTAATTGTTTTCAGTATTACATTAATTACAGATGAGGATAACAATCACAAGAAGTACAGGAATATGAGATTTTTTAACATCATCTTTACAATTTGGTGACTTTTTCTGTTCTTTTTTTATTGCTTGAGATCTGCCTTTTTCCTGAATTAACAAACAAACATTTCATTCAACTAAAATTCAAAGCTGGAGAGGCACACCTGGGTCCTCTTCAGCATTTAAAGGATCTATTTATATAGAAGAATACATAAGAAAGGAGCTGTATCTGAGCCATTGTTGCTGGCTCCTATGGGAAAGGGGGAAATCTTGTTTTGCCTAAAAGTAGAGATGTGGTCAATACCTCTTGCTGGGGAGACAGAGAGAGAGAGGAAGAAGGATTGTTATTAGCATGAAACCCGTGGAAATGCCCAAGCTGCCCCTCTCTGAGAGAAACTGTTGTTGACACTACATGGCAGACATCTGTTAGCGAGCGAACACATGATAGTCAGCGTTCCACTTTATTAAATACAGACAACCTCATGAACTTCCCTGCCGCACCCTCTTCCTTTAGACCGCTCTTTTCTCCATCATGCACGTATCATTTGTGGCTCTTTTAAACTATGTTTGAATGTGAGTGAGTAAGTGATTCAGTATTTTCTAATTGTTGGGCACATAAAGCTTGCTATTAGCTTTTTAAAAACATGTTTGGAGAACACTTTGGTTATTAGATATTGAAGCGCAGATCCTTGCTAAAAGATGCCAGGGGGAAGTTTTGGATTATCCATCTTTATTTTTTTAAGGTTGATTACTGAAAAACAAGCAAAAATAAATGTATAATATCATGTTTAAATGATGACTTTCTTCTTATCAGACCATATAAAGCATCCAGGCTCGTCTTAAGCAGCACCACTGCTGTTGAAACCCTTCCTGGTGTGTGTAGTTTGCTCTGGACAGATAAGCTGCAGTGTCGGATTCATGCCCAAATAAATACTGTTATCATGTAATTTCACTGTTTACAGCGCTCTTTTTGGATAAGACGCAGTTCTTCGGAGAGGGTTTACTGCTAAAACGTGAGAAACAAGAGAAAAACCACAAGGCCTATTACTGTACCACATAGTCCTCTATTAGCTGTTTATGTGCTCCTTTGTTAGTGCTTTCAGTCGGCGCTGTGGCTCGTCTAATAAGTGGCTTATTGGCTCTGCTGTCCCAGCAGGAAAAGCAGGATGATCCATAGTAAACACACACACTTAAGAGCACAGAGCAGCTGCTATGGGCCAGAAACACACAGATCATGACTTCACTGTGGTGATGACCTGAAAGATTGTTTTACTTTCTTATTCTTATTGAAAGTTGAAGGTGAAGTTGAAGCCCAGACTTGGCTGAAACACTTGGTCACCATTTCCGATGTTGAAAACAGGAAGCAGCTCTTTTTTTAAAGCTTGTATTGTGTTTGGTTTTATTTTTTTGTTATGTTTTATGTTTAAAATGTGGGGTTTTATCAATGTTTCTTCATTACTTTTACCATTTTTATCTGTTGCTTTCAGTTTATCTCTGTGAAGAAACAATGTCAGTCAAGTAAAAGAAGAAACCTGAACGAGATGTCTTTTTTTCCAGGTTACCCAGGCTCTCACAACCAGACACCTTATCCCATGACTCAGCCCGGCGGCCACTCCGTAGCCCCTTACCCATCTGCTCCAGGGGTGTACGGAGACCCCAGTCAAGCCCCTCCACCGGGCTTCAACATGGGCTACAATCCAGCCCCAAATCCTGTCATGTATCAGCCAGGTCCGATGGGTCCAGGCCCAGTTCCAGGACCGGAGTACGGCGGCCACCCAGGAGCGATCTCCCCGGCCCCAGTTGGAACTCCAGCAGTTGCTGTTGGGGTCCCGCCAGGGCTGGAGTACCTCGCACAGGTAGGACAGAGAAATCTAACAATCTGCATTGACATAACTCAGCCATGACCAGACAGGTGGTTTCATAAGCTGCTCCACCGGTTTAATATTTTTTCTTAGAAGTGACTTTATCTTAAAGTAAGATGGCTTATTCGTGCACCACTCCCTAAGCTGGTTGACATTTACTGTGCTAAAAGGTTAGCGGGTGTGTTCTTCATTATCTTTCATGCATCTTTGAGTGGGAAAAAAATGTCAGAAGTAACTATGTACTTAGTGTACTTCTCTAGAGCTGAAATAAAATCCATTACAGTGAAAGTATAAAATAAATAAGTAATCTGGCTTTAGTTTGTGTACAGTCCAGTTTTTTTCCATTTAAAACAATGTAATATGACCTCAGTCATCACAGCCTTTTAACTTGTAAAGATCACACCCAGCAGCTCAGTAGTTTTGAGGACATGGAGCTTAAACAAAGACAAAGCAAAATAAACCCTCATCAAACAAAAAATATGGAGTTTGCAGGTAACAAGACTCCGGCCGTCAGAAGTGACTCTAGTCCACTAGTATGGAGACAAACAATGTTTTTTATGAAAATTCATGGGAGCGTATTCACTTGTTTTAAGAGGAAAAAGACTTTCAGATTTGAAGATGGGTATATTTTGCAGTGATAAACTGTTAACTGTCTCCTCACATTGCTTTCTCTGGTGGTTTCAGATCGACCAGATCCTGATCCACCAAAAAGTGGAACTCCTAGAAGGTAGGAGGTGTTACTTGTTCGTTCATATTTACACTTACCACTTTGAAAGCTGCATTATAAGCTTATTATAAGCTTTGAATCTCTCATTATAAATCAAATAAATATTAAAACGACGTCTGCCATTGGAATTCTTTACTTATTTACTTTGTTATTCATCATTTCAACCCTTTCCGTCCGTCTCCTTCCAACCCCGCCCAGCATTCATCGGGTTTGAGACCAACAACCAGTACGAGATAAAGAACAGCCTGGGCCAAAAGATCTACAAGGCCAAAGAGAAGAACGACTGCTGCACCAGGAACTGCTGCGGCTCACTGCGCAGCTTCGACATGAAGATCAAGGACAACATGGACAGGGAGGTCATCCGTCTCATACGGCCTTTCCGCTGCGTCTCCTGCTGGTGTCCCTGCTGCCTGCAAGAGGTCTGTGTGTGTGTGTGTGTCAGGGAATCAGTTTTAATAGGCTCATATAATATTGATTTACCACACCAAGACCAACATTGTGCTAATTCCATTGTTCATTCAGCAACAAATCGCTCGCTCTAGTTCAGAATGAACTCTAATATTTGTGTTATAATATTTGCTTCAAGTGTGTCAAGTTAACCATTATTAATGTTGTTAATATTTAACAATATTTATTGTCTGAAGAGTCTCTGATGGAAAAGAATGAACTATTACCTGCTAAAGCAGATGATTCACAGTTTAGCTTTAATGGTTGAGGCGTAACAACAACGATAATCTTTTTTTGTGGGGTCCTTTTGGAAATAAAGTTAACTGAGTACAAAAAACAAAGATTTATGAAATAAAACAGGAAACAATGAAAAAAACACCAAGCAAAAAAAAAGAGTCGACAGCAAAAACAGAATAATATCAAGCTTAAGGATAATGTGTGACAAATGTGTATTAATCCACAGCTGAAAATAGTTCCCAACAAATGGGCAATTTACTCCTGTTTGAGTAATGT